CGACGTTAGGCATTTTGGCTGGCTGCGGCTCGGCCTGCACCTCTTTTGTTTAGGGTCAGGCAACGTGCCAGGCAACGTTAGCACCCCCCCGTTCCGACCGCTTTTGTGGGCAGAAATAGATGGCGTCGTTTGCCAGGCTTGCTGCCAGGCAACTGGGCCAGGCCAGGCGACGTTAGGCATTTTGCCGGCCTGCGCCTCTTTTCTTTAGGGTCCCGAAGGCAACGTGCCGGGCAACGTGCCAGGCAACGCCATCCCCTGGGCTCCTACTCAGCACAGCAGGATAGGCCATCACCTGGTCCCGACCTGGCATCGCTGCGGTCAAGCGCCCGTGTCCTCGCCGGAGGCCTTCGGTGGTAACCGAAGGTTATAGACGCTCGCCCCCCCTGCCGCCGACCCTCGGGACCAAAACGGGGGGACCGCCGGGTCACTGATATCAACGTAATTTACAGGGTTTTGTGCGTGCGAGGTTCAAAAATCTCGTGTTTTACAGGGTTTGGGGCCCCTCGGCGGCCGAGAATTTCACCTCGGCGATGTAAAAAAACGTTTGAAAAATTGTGTTTCCATGGCTTTGGCTTTGCCGGAAGGAAAAAACGGAAAAAGTTGTGTCGGAAGAGTTTTTCAACATGAATGGCCTCACATATCCCCAACATAGGCCCAAGATAGCCAACATATCCCCAACATAGCCTCCAAGATGGCTCCACATAGGGCCAACATAGGCCAACGTGGGGCCGACATACGCCAACATAGGCTCAACATAGAGCCAACCTCGGCCAACATAGGCCTAACATAGGCCAACATAGGCTCAACATAGGCTCAACATGGGCCCAAGATGTGCCCAACATAGACCACAGGGGCCCAACTTGGTCCAACCTAGAGCCAAGATGCGCGCCAGATATAGGCCCCACCAAGTCTCAAAGAGAAAGAGAGAGAGAGAGAGAGAGAGACAGGACCCAGCCCTACATAGACCCGAGTGGGCCGGCGCCCGGCAGTCAGGCGTAAGCCTCATAATTATCACACTGTATCAATCAAAAAAACTATATTATATAACACATGAGCTGAATTGTGCTTCCATAGAAGAGGAACCGTTGACACATATTCAGCATCCGTGGTTGCAACATAAAACTCCAAACAGGGTGCTGGCAGTCCTGGGCATTTGCAAATTATAACCCAATGGATCGACTTAAGTCAACACCACCAGAAAACACATGCAAGTAGTATCAAATCAAATAGTCAACCAACATACCAACGCAGTCGCAGCAATCACTCAAATTGCAGGCCTGCAAGCAATTCTTGGCACCCTCATTTTGTGCGAAAAGGTTGCTGCCGAAACATCAAAATCGCAGTACTCCCGCAGTTTCTTACACTTGGGCCTCGTTTCGTGCGAAAGGTTTCAAAAACCACAGTATCTCTCATTTGGTGCAAACAGATTGCGAACAAAGTTTCAAAATCACAACATTCCCGCAGTCTTTTACACTTGACCATCATTTCGTAGGAAAAGGTTGCTGCCAAAACATCAAAATCGCAGTGTTCCCTCAGTTTTTGGATGTTTTTGGCACTTACCCTCATTTCGTGCGAGAGGGTTGCGTTTCGTGGTCGCTTGTCAGCGCCACCCCAGCCAAAGAAAGAAAAGAGACGGAGAGGGAGAGAAGCAAAGAGAATGCGAGAGAGAGAGAGATGTGCAAATGTGAAGATATGCAAATGTGAAGATGTGCATGGCTGGATATGTGCGGATGTGAGATGTCTTGCTTTCTTTTAGAAGAACCCTTCGCTCACGCGCTCTTGGGAAAAATAATGAAACATTATCCTTTCAGAATTTCAGAGACCTCAAACACAGGGTATTCGCAAATCGCGGTTAAACGATGTTAACGGTTACCTAAAGCTCATAAGGAAAAAACGTACACAATGAGCCTGAAGATGCCTGAAGGATGAATCGTCTTATACTAAGCTACAATAACAGTTCTCTTTATCTTCTCAGAGTGAGTGAACTGAATGCTTTGCAGCTCATTTGTTTGTGCGCGTGTTCTGGACCTTTGTTTGCAAATCTTCGTTACATGCAACATAGCATGGACTGAACACTCTGTTGTTAGAGTAAGCGCTCATATCTCATGGCTGTCTGCTTCTGGACAAACCCACTGATGTTTTCTAGAGTTCAAAGCCATCAGTCTATTGGCCACTGGGTCCCTTCTCGTGCTTGTTTTGAGCTTTACAGTGGGTGACATTTGTGTTGTGTTGTTTTGGCCATGGAGCTTCCTGACAATGTCAAGCACCATTGATGCTGGTAAAGAATGGGTGCTGGTTCTCCGGGGAGGAGAGTTGATTGAGCAAAGCATTGACCATTATTAGCCATCCGGCGCTTTGCCTGCTATGGACTGCGCCCTCCTGCAGGTCGTGGGTATGGATGTCAGGACACACAATCAGGAAACTTATGGTTCACACTCTGTGGTTCATGCCATATATAATATTCAATAATATTCGATCCATGGTTCTTCTTTGTAGTTGTTCCGATTCAACGTAGTAAAGGTCGAGTAAGGCATGTAATAAACCTAACACTAATCGCGATGTAAGTTGTATATACAAGTTGAGAAGCACCTGTAGCAGCGTTGACATCAGGCCTGGCACCCCCTATGACGAAATTGGGCAAAGAGACCAAGGAATGAATGGAACATGATCCTGATGACTTTCTACATTCCAAAAATATCGTCTGCAAATATGCACATCTCCTGACCTTCTACACCGTTTTGGAAGAGGCTAGTGAGATCCCCCGTTTTCCAGTGGCTTGCCATGCATGAACTACACATTGGAGCATTGTGCGTCGCAAAGCTTCTTGGACTTTGAGGTATCGATTTGTTTGATTCCTCTTACTGTCTTACTGTCCTGAAAACAATAAAAGGACCGGATAACCCCACATGATAAGTTTTACAAATTTCAAGTGTATATGAACATCACATGGGAGACGGAGTAGTGAGATGAAAAGTCAAGAACGAAGTGTGAGGAGAGAAGGTATATGAGGCGGTTGTGCTCAGACGTGCAGTATAAGTGATGATGTGATGGACGAGGATGAGAAGGAGGGGAGGGAGGAGGTGTGTGTGTGGTAAGATGGCGTGCGTGTGTGTGTGTGGGTGTGTGATAAAGTGTCTGATGATGCGATGAACAAGGATGAGAGGGACGAGAGAGAGAGAGAGAAGGAGGCGGAGAGAGAAGTTTGGAGGCTCTGGATTTTGCGATCAGATCCGCATGAGACTTTCAAAACGTAACACACTCGAAACGACCATCAAAGCTATCAAGTGGTCTTATCCCGACCACGGCGGGCAGTGTTAGCAGGATGTAAAGCAAGAAGAGGTGAGACACGCTTACAATGCGATTCCGAGCGATGTGTGTGTGTCACCCTTGGAGTCATAGGGATGCTTTTGCATTTGCTTTTGTTTTACAGCAGGGGGTGCCAGGGACCGTGCAAGTCTGGCACTAACAAAGACGCTTGCACTGGTCTGTGAAATCAATCCGGGACGCCGGATTGACGTACCTGCGTGGAGAGAAACCTACTTAATGGACAAGCTGTTCCAATGCTGTGTTTTGCAGTAAGCGGCTAATGCATCGGTGCTTTTCCTTGAGTGCTTGGACCTTGGGAGCTCCACTGACCTCCTCGAACCGTCGTCACCCTGTCGTCCGTTCGATCGGTGTTTTCTACTGGACGGACCTCCTCTTTCTTACCTGTACCCTTAGGAATTGGAACCCTAGGCCGGCGTGTGGCACCGCTATCAAGTCCGTACGCATATCCATAAGTGTGTTTGGCTTCGCGCCAACCCGGGATGAGCCCGCAGAGTGCCTCCCGTGGACCCGTCGAACGGGCGTATGTCTTCCCCGGCTCTGGGAACGCAGATGTCCGCAGCGGACAGCAGGTGGCCCAGGCCGTACGTCCGATGATTTTTGTCTCATCTTTGGAATTCCAAGTTGGCTCATGCCTTTACGTGACCGCAGCGGTCTAAGCAGCCAGCCATTTTGGCACGGCGTACGTGGCCGCAGCGGCCGAAGCCTGTTCAAGGTTCATTGGAACCTGTTGGAGCCTTAGCTTTTCAATTGATCCTCCTCCTCTCGCCATGTTCCCTTCTCCGGCTGGTCTCCACCCTGTGGACGGCATCACGATGAGGGCCCAGACTATCCTAAATCGAGAGATTCTTCATTTACATGGTCTGTTGATTCTCGCTACCTCCCTTCTTCGCACTCGCTTTGCTATCATCCTCCAACCTTCGTTCATGGACTACATTACTTCACCACATATTCAGCTGCAGATTCGAGGCCTGGACTCAGCTATTCGACAGGCGACTCAGGCGATCCATAATGGGGTGCACTATATCCACGAACTCCTCACTACTTTTGGGATGATACATGCCTTGAATTGCGACACCACTCAAGTGGATGCCGAACTACGAGGATGCTCGACTGCTCGACCTTCCCTGACCCTCGCCTTCCGTCTCTTTCTACTCCTCTGGGTTCAACTACGACTCGAACTATGACATCTACCAGATCC